GAAAATATTTTTCTGGTTTAGCCTGAGGCTCGTTTCTTGTTTTCTCTCGGTGGGGGTACACATCGTGTTTAGGTTATAGTGTACGATTGTCAACTGAGCATGCACCTGTTGTTGCTGTAAACTGTTTCATTTTTTTCTAAATCCGCGGCTGGTAAGGCGGTGGTGCATCATACGACGTAAAGATCGGCGTAGACTCTGCCCACAATAACCAGATTAATTACAGAAGCCGACATCATCCCGATAGACTTTAATAGTCCACTTGACTATTGGTTTGATTTTCGGCATCGCTGACTAGATTAATGGTTCTAGGCATATCCCATGAGGCATGGTGTCTTGTTTCGTTTTGTCGCCTTCTTCGGTATCCGTGCCTTTCGTTATTGTGTGTGTCGGTTTTACCCCCTCGCATTTGCCCCCAATTGATCAGTCTCACAACCGTCCCTCGCTCGCTGCTGTCACTGTGTTTTTTCTCTGTTTAATGTCTGCTTTTCCTTAGGACCACCTGTGGGAACTGTTTGCCAGGCATACCACCATGGTGCTCATCATCCTGTACCTTGTGTACACACAGGTTTCCACGGTGGTGAGTAGCATAGACTACTGAACGGGCCCGGAGATGACAAACGTCATAATCGGGCCGAGGCTCAGTTTCTTATTTTCGTCGCCACTGTCGAACGCACGTTGTTAGATAGAGAGTAGTCTAGGATCCACCGCTGAGATTCTGGTTTTTAACGAAGTATTTCTTAACTGCGGGCCCCTATTTACCCATGGCAACCATCGTTGCTGCTGTGCCGCCCAAGCTCTACAGTAGATCGTGGCGTTCTATTTTTGGGGACCCAAGCATTGTCGGAACACTTGTCACTGGCGCGCTCTACGTGGGTTAATGCACGGCATTCTGTCGACGGGACATCCCGTATGCGGACATGCCGTACGGTCCATACCTTACCATAACCCAAACCGTTCCATGCCGCACGGTCCCATACCGTTTCATAACCCTGGCTGTTACATACCTTACCGCCGCATACCGTAGCATACCGTTCCCCACCGCTCCGAATCATTCGTCCCGTCCCAACCCAAGAAAACATCAAACCAAACAATGCTGTTCCGTACCGTGGTGGGCCCGGTTTAGCGACCCCCTGTTTGGGGACATGCCCAGTATAGTCGCCACGAAACCGCGGACGGGCGTCGCTGCTGTACACTTTCCAGTAGACGCTGTACCGGCAATAGCGACCTGCCGTCACTGTTTGGGATTGCCATTGCCACTACTGTGGTGTCAAATATGTACGTCCGGCATCACCAAGGAAACGCCTCACTCTGTGGTGGTACATCCTTGCATTCAACAGGTGCTCCAAGCGTTTGCTTGCGAAGACTTCCCCGAGATCGGCAAGAGCTTCCTTCGAGCCGACTTCCGGATAGAGTGCGACACGCCCAAGCACGACAACTACAAGATTTACGCCGCCGTCATGATCTGCATCTGTGCGTTATTAATTGTTGATCCTCCTTCAGCTCACTGGTTGGATGCAGCTTTTAAAAGTCCAACAACCCTGAAAAATGAACGGACACGTAATACGTCCGTACTGTGAAATATGAAAAGAAACATGATACGTCCGTATGCAATTTAGGTTTGTTATTTTTGAAGGGGTGTTGGAAGACAAGTTGGTTGGGTGTTTTTCCTTTTCGTCCTCGGTTATGTATGAATTCTTGTTTTGGGGACGCCTTGGGGGCGGAGGTAGACGTGATGCTGGCGTGTCTTTGTTCTGCACCCTTGAGAGGAAACGAACATGGGAGAAAAGAAGCGAAACTGCTTCTTTTGTTAAACGTGCATGACATGACGCAGAAAATAGTTCATGTTAGTCAATACCC